CACCAATGTTTTATAGTTTTCAGAGTATACAGCTTTCAGCTTCTTGGTTAAGTTTATTCCTAGGTATTTTATTCTTTTTGATGCAGTTTTAAATGGGATTTTTGAACTTTCTTTTTCTGATAGTTCATTATCAGTTTATAGAAATGCAATAGATTTCTTTGTATTAGTCTTGTATCCTGCAACTTAGCTGAATTCATTTATTAGCTCTACTAGTTTTGCGGTGTATATTTTAGTTCTTGGTTTTCTTGATCTTTTCTATTGTTTTTTGATCTCTATTTTATTTGTTTCATCTCTGATCTTTATTATTTTCTTCCTTCTTCTGACTTTGGGCTTTGTTTATTCATTTTTTCTAATTCCTTTTGGTGGAGTTTAGGTTGTTTATTTGAGATTTTTCTTGTTTCTTGAGGAAAGCCTGTATCACTATAAAATTCCCTCTCAGAATGCTTTTGCTGCATCCCATAGATTTTGGAGTGTTGTGTTTCCATTTTCATCTGTCTCAAGGTATTTTCTGATTTTGTCTTTGATTTCTTCATTGATTTATTGGTTTTTTTTTTTTTTTTAGTAACATGTTGTTTAGTCTCCATGTGTTTGTTTTTTCCCATTCTTCTCTCTGGAATTGATTTCTAGTTTCATACTATGGTGGTCAGAAAAAAATGCTTGGTATAATTTTTGCCCTTTTTAATTTATTGAGACTTGTGCTGTGGCCTAGCATGTGATCTATTCTAGAGAATGTTCCATGTGCACTTGAAAAAAATGTGTATTCTGCTGTTTTTGGATGTGATGTCCTGTAGATATTTATTAAGTCCACCTGATCTAATGTATCATTTAAGACCACTGTCACCTTATTGATTTTCTGTTTGGATGATATGTCCATTGATGTAAGTGGAGTGTTAAAGTCCCCTACTATTACTGTATTATTGTCAATTTCTCTTTCTATATCTGCTGATTGCAGTAATTATAAAACGAGGGTATATTAGAAAAGTTTAGTACAGATGATTGAGTTGAATCTGAAGGTTGTCAACACAAAGGTAGGAAAGCGTGATTGAGCTGAGAGTTAAGGATTAATCATATAGGAGTGGTTAGACCTTCCAGGAAAAGTGAACAGTATTTGTAAAGACCTTGCTAAAAGCAAGGAGGAAATTAGTAGTTCCTTTTCTATTCTCCAGAAGATTTTGTGTAAGATTGGTGTTACTTTTTCCTTAAATATTTGTATGAATTCATGGGTGAAGCCTACAGGCCTGGAGTATCTCTGTGGGAGAAAATTTATTTATAAATTAAATATTAATAGATTTGGGAGTATTCACACTTTTATTTTGTCTTGTATCATTTTTGGTAAATTGTGTACTAAGAAATTTATAAATTTAAAAAAATTTTTCAAATTTATTGGCATGAAGTAGTTCATTATATTATGATCTTTTTAATAACTCTAGGATATATTGATATACCCTTTTATATACTTGTAATCAATAACTTTTGCCTTCTCTATTTTTAAATCCATCTTGATAAGAGTTTGTCAATTTTATTAGCCTTTTAAAAACTTTTAGTTTTGATGATATTTTCTATAATATGTTTGTTTTTATTTTATTAACATGTCTTGTTTATTATCTATTTCTGTCATTTATTGTTTCTTTTTGAGCATAGTTTTCTGTCTCTTTTTGTTCTATTTATTTTTGATTAGTGATGTGTATGAAAATTTGGAGAAATAAATTTAGAACTAGAGTGACATTATCTTCTTATGCAGAGAGTTTATGTTTGTCTATTACTGGTAGCCAAGTTCACTAGCTGACCCAGATCACAGTAAACTAATTTTAAGAGTTGAATTGGTATTAACCAGGTCTATTTCTAGTTCACCTTTCCTCCTGTATTGCAGCCTTTCAAAGTCCCAAACTAAAATATGATTAACCAGAACTCTCCCTCATTGTTCCCCTAACCCTGAAACAATGTCATAAATGTCCTTCAGATTTTGCCTCTCATCTGCCTCTTGCAGAATTCATGGATCACCATAAGGGCAGCAGCCTTAATTGTTGGGCCTGTTTCTCTGGTCTGCTTTTTTTGCCCAAATCTTAGACCCTTAATTTTTCTCTGCCTTTTTTATCTCTCTGATCTCTTGAAGAATTTTTTTATAATTTTGTCCATTTTTCAGATGTCATAGTTGGAAAGTTACCTTACTTTCCTCATCTATCATGAGGAAGTGAAAATTCTAAGATTTATTTCTATTTTCTCAATTTTTTTAAATGATCATTTTTGGGTTATTTTTTCTAGTATTATATTATGTGATTTTCTTGCACCAATTATTATCACAATATTTCTATTTTACAGATAATTTCAGACTCACTGGAATTAAAATTTCTTTCTTTAAGTCTTTATCAAGTCATGAATAGAATATAAGTTCCTTGAGGGTATGGAATCTTGTTCAATGATGTTTAACCAGCACCCTGAAGTGTGCCTAGCCCTTAGTAGGCTCTCAATGCTTTTGCAGTTAAATGAATGGAAGGAATGGAGTCACATCTTTGGTATTAAGTGGAGGATCATGAATTCTTTGTTCTTGTGCTACAGGATGACTATCACTTTTCAAATATACAATTGGATATAGCTTGATGACAATATGTAAGGACATTTTATATAGAGCAAGCTTTACTTATCCATTTTGTTCGGACTTCTGGATTTTCTTTTCAGTGTATCATTCTAGTAGCTTATTTTTATTTTATCTTGAGAATTTATATAGGCAATAAATCACTAAAAGATGAACTCACACTGTAGAGAGACAATGTCCATTTTACAAACATTTAGTTCAAATGTAAATGTATATGTCTAATTATAATGTGACTCTGATGTTTATTATCAATCCTTTCTCAATAGGATATTGATGACTTTCTTATCTAGAAGTGCCTTAAAAGTCTCAAGCCAGTATCTTCTCTCATTGCTTTGATCTGTGCCTTTGACTCATACATGGGCCTCAGAATTTCATCTTGGCCAATTCCAGAAGTCAGGTACATTGTTGACAATCCTAAAATATAAAATATTTTCTTTGTCTAAAATTGCTTCAAAGTTGTAAGCCTTGCCAATATATAGCTCAATGTTTATATTTTAAGCTCCACTGCTATTCTTATGTGCAAAACAAGGTCTGCTGAAAATTCACACAGTTTTCCTGAATGAATCCCTCCAGATACAAGGGCTCAGTTCAATTGGGAAAGTTTGAAGGTCCTTCATAGGATCTTCAGAATTTAGGCAGAACGCCTAAATTTTTGAAGACACAGTCATAGCATTATTCATTTTTATTAAGTGTTTTGGAAAATAACATATTTACTAATCAAAAGCCCTTTCTTTCATAGCTGTATCTTATATCCCAGTACAATGTACTCTCTCCAGTTACATTCTCCTGGGTCTAGGATTGAGTTAGCTAGTTAACTGAGGGATTTTTCTAGTCATTATTTCATTCCCATCTTGAGTTATACAGGCACAAGTAATTTAAGATGACACTTGGACTCACTGTGTATAATTCTACATTTTTTACCCAACTTGGACCCTAACCACATAATTGCAATGGTTATGCTACAGCTATGGCATTGGTAACCTGAGCCCTAGAGGTCAGTGATTCTACCTGCTACGGGTAAATTGATAATTGGTTATTTTCATTATTGTGAAGAGTGCCAAACTGTGTACTAAATATATAAAACCTGGTAATACCAGTTGTCTCAAGGCCAGGATTAATGTCAATGTAGAAAAACTGCTAGGAAAGGGTATGGCATCAACTTGGTATTCCCAAGAGTAACACTTATGTTCAAAGTGGTTTCATATTTGCTCCCCTTGGTCAAAGACTGGGACTTTGATGTATCATATAATCTGGATGCCTCATCTCTTGGTTTTCGCTTCTCTTGCTTTTTGAGCAGAGAATGAGTGTCTCTATCCATGGTGATGTCAGTATTGCCTGATCTTTGGCCAGGGCCTCCAGCACACATGTTATAGCAGGAGCAGTGTAAGATAATGGTCTAACATCTATGCACTGAGAAAAAATACCAGGTTCAAATCCTACCTCACCTTATTCAAGTTTTGGACAGAAGTTACCTAACCTCCCCAAGCTCCAGTATTCTCACTGGTAAAATGGAGATAATAATAATGCCTTACTCTTCGAGTTGTTGAGAGAATCAAATGAAATAATCTATAGTAAGCACTTAGCACAGTGACTACTGAGCTCTCAATATATATTAATATTATTTTTGTAGAAAATCCTTTCTAAAATTGTAGATTTACTTTAAAGGACTTAAACTCAATATTGTTGTATTAACCAAGAACCTGCTTAATTTGGAACTAAGGTTTTTTTAAGATGAAAATCTTTTCTGTGGTCAACGAGCGTGTTATAGTGCTACTTTTTGTTCACCCATGAAAGCAATTTCTGTGTTCTGCTGTAATAGACTGACCGTATTGTCTGCCTACTCTAACTGCCTTGGATATGCCAACTATGCCAAGCCTCCCTTACCTATGAATACTTCCTCACACTGCTCCCTTGCATTTCTCTCCCACAACATATTTGAGGCAGTTATCACAATACTCATGGACATTTTTCCTCTCTTTATTCTCTTTCAATAAGAATTCTTAATTGTGCAGACTCAGGATTGAGAGTGAACAAGATGCCTAAATACACACACACACACACACACACACACACACACATTCATTCATTAATGCTCATATAATTTAATTTGGTATAGAACTCAACTGATAGACTCTTTTCCAAAGCATTAAGGACCTAAGCACTTCTCAAAAATGTAAGAGCAACCAAAATTTTTTTGAAGGTTCAAATAGTACTGTCATTGATTTTTATAAACATTTTTGGAAACTGAAGGAGACATTATGTGAGGTTCTCTTTTGTCCCAGTGGATGATTGAAGAGCCATTCATTGCCCAGTCCTGACACTGCTTTTCCCCATTGGGTCTCTGTGAGAGTCACATGCTGTGGACATCTTTGAAAAGAATCTTCTGAGACTTCAGCATCTCATTTGAGTCTCCTGAATCTCACCTACCACTGTGTTGAATTCTCATCCATCACAATGAGCAACAAATTCTTAGGCACCTGGAAACTTGTCTCCAGTGAGAACTTTGATGATTACATGAAAGCTCTGGGTAAGAAATGTTCTCTGTTGTTCTAATTGAGAGGATCCTTTTTGAGAAAGATGCATGACTATTTCCTTCTAACTCCTTTTCCAGGAGTCTGGGAGTTTGCACAGGTTGAAGTACAATCCTCTTCTGGGATTAATCTTCTGTTGTGTCAATCAGATAATTTATTTGCATTTTATTTGTGGCAATTTTAATAGATTTTAACTCAGATAAGAGCTGCTTAAATGCATTAGAGTGCCCAATGATTTCAAAGGCAGTTTCGTATCAATAAGGTTTTCGTTCCAAACCTGGAGGAAAGAAATCTTAGAAGCTTAGTCAACCTATTTTCTGGCTTTCCTGAAAGTTAGATCTACAACAACTAAAGTGCTCATGAAATAAAGAGTTGAATATACTAAACTTAATGGAAAACTTCAATTTAAAATTTTGATGCTTAGCTATACCAGAAGTTTTCTGTCTCTACATCTAGGTTGTCTGTTATTACATAACTATGTGGATAAAGAGTTTGTAAAAAGTGAATGCTTCATAAAGCAGGATATTCACAGTCTAGGAAAGTTACTGAGAGAAAAAGAAGTGTGTTGTGGCAGTGAACTCAAGCTCATTTACACTAACATCAGGCTTTCCTGGAGATGGAACAGTGGATGGAGATGGAAAGCCTAGTCATTAGTATAGCAACTTTATTTGCTACTATTTCTAGGGAATTTTCCATAGATATGAGCACAAAAGTGTGAGGAGTCTTTGGAAATGTCCAGAGCTGTATAAATAAGTAGAGAGTGAAGCCAATGACCTCAGATTGCTATGCTCATCAAAGTACTTATAATTTTACCTGTTCAGAAAGCATATAAGAAGAGTTCTATTTTTAGATAAAATGAGCAAAATCATGTTGTGTTGCCTGGAAAACTATGGGAACTTATGGGAATAGATCCATACCATAAGATTGGTTAAATTTATGGACTTCACTTTATAGCCGAGGAAGAAGCAAAATACAATATAAGAAAGTCTCAATGAAAGACTCCCTAATTGTGTGATTTTCAAATTTTAGAGTGCATAAGGACACCTGGGGGTGTTTGTAAAATGTAGATTCTTAGTGTCTATTGTAGAGGTTTAGTCTGAAAAGCATTGTCCTTAATCATATCAAATAAAAAAAGATTAATCAGAATTAGAAGAAAGAGTATCGTTCACAATCCTTTATTGGCTCTAACTCTTCACACTTCTTTATGTATATATAAATATAAATATATGTATATTTATATATGACTAGTTTTTTCTTCATGTATCTCTCTCATCTGACATTTCTATTTTTCCATGTATTTCTGTAATCTTGGGTAGCATAGTAATAATAATTAAGAGTCTAATTTTGTTTTGTTTTCAAATGCATAAAATTTTTTAAAAATTATTTTATTTATCTATGATCATTTGTAATGGTACAGATCATTTTAGGGGCTACAACAAAATTTCAGAAATGAGCTTCTATCGAGGATATGGGAGGAATTCTTTTCTATATTCATATTATATTACTGAGGGAAAAAATCATAGAATAGCATGTATAAGTCATAGTCTCATTTAAAAATATATCTACAATATTTATGCATACAAACTAAAATGTCTGGAATGATCCATACAAAACTATAATTAGTAGTTTTTAATGGAGCATGGGTTTGGATGTGGTAAAAATAGATGACTTGCACTATTTAAGCTAAACACTTTTAGCTTTAAAATCTGCAGGCATTACTTTTGTAATAACAAAACTTAAAATATTCAAGTCCGTGGACATGTGTTTCCATCAGGTGATGAAACATGGGAGAAGGTCCTTAGCAGTAAGTGCTATTACTTGCCATCTATACAGCTGAGGCACAGCTGAGCATAAAATATGGCCACCCATAGTCCCTTTAGGTAGAGGTTCTCTTGGTCAACAAAATTCTAACAGTATCTTGATTTTCAGGTGTGGGATTAGCCACCAGAAAACTGGGAGATTTGGCCAAACCAAGAGTGATCATCAGCAAAAAAGGGGATATTATAACTATAAGAACTGAAAGTACCTTTAAAGATACAGAGATCTCCTTCAAGCTAGGCCAGGAATTTGAAGAAACCACAGCTGACAATAGAAAGACAAAGGTAAAAATTGTTTCTCTTCAAATTTGGTCCAGTCTACTACTTTGAGAGAGAAGATTACTCCTGCTAGTATTCAAAAGGGTAGACCACTCCCTTCTGTTGAAAAATGAATGTGCCTCATAAAACATCTGTTATGAAAATGATTCAATACTGAATGAACTGCTTCTTTACTCAGCCAAAGTCCAAGCAAGTCAATTATGTAAACCTATCTTTGCAGAGCGTTGTAACTTTGGCAAGAGGCTCGTTGAATCAAGTACAGAAATGGAATGGCAAAGAGACAACAATAAAGAGAAAGTTGGTGGATGGAAAAATGGTAGTGGTAAGAGTAATTTTACTCTAAATACATAAATATAGCCATTTAAATAGAGAAAATGGTTATATTATTTTCAAAATATTCTCTTTTCTTTGCAATACAAATGGATAAGAATGGTTAAGAATAAAATCAGAGTTAATGTTTGGGTGATCTTTGAACTATAAAGACTCATCTACAGGTACTTCAGGTTCAGATTCAGGAATTTAGAAATGATACAACTCATTTGTTATTTTAGAAATAACAACACCTAAAAATGATAAAAAAAAAAAAGTATGGGTAAACCTCATTAATTTGGACACACAAGGAGAAAAGCAAATCTAAGTTTTAAAAGCAAAGCACATCCCCAGTCAATTGTAGAATATTTGTAGATAGCTAAGCATTTTGTTTTCAAGAATCCATAGTAACTTGGACTAAAACATGTCAACAACTCAAGCTGAGGCCATTGGAGACCTTTTGTAGTTGGCAGGTAAAAATGATGACAAAGGTTATATGAGATGACCTCTAACAATTTTTTTAAGTCTCAGGTTCTGTTCTTACTAATCAACACGCAAATTGACTATAGATAGATTTATGTAGTTCTTTGAACATTCTTTTCTTTAGTACAGAGGAGCTTTATCCTTAGCTCCACAGCAGATTTACATGGGGAATAAATACCAGTATGGGGGCCCCAATACAGATCAACTGCATGCACATCTCTTGGGGAGGAGGAGCCATCAGTATTTTTAAATGTTCGCCAGATAATGCAGATGTGCAGATAGTTTTGAAAACCACTGTTTTAGTAGATTTAAATCTGTGCCAATTATGCATGAAAACTTGCCACTTAAAAAATATACCCCTGGGGCTTCCCTGGTGGCGCAGTTGTTGAGAGTCCGCCTGCCGATGCAGGGGACACGGGTTCGTGCCCCGGTCCGGGAAGATCCCACATGCCGCGGAGCGGCTGGGCTCGTGAGCCATGGCCACTGAGCCTGCGCGTCCGGAGCCTGTGCTCCGCAACGGCAGAGGCCGCGACAGTGAGAGGCCCGCGTACTACAAAAAAAAAAAAATATATATATATATATATATATATATATATATACCTCTGCTGTAACTTAGATCAGCTTTAAAACTGTTTCCCCTGTTTCAATGGTCATGATTCCAAATTCCTGGAGACTGACATACTGATATTTTATTTCTTTCTGAGTTTAATCTTATGAGATTGCTTATAATGTCTGTTATTATTACAAATTTGCTGTCACCTAGTTTGAGTTTTAGATATTCAATTAATCTCTCTTTTTTTTTTAAGGAATGTAAGATGAAGGACGTGGTCTGCACCAGAATTTATGAGAAGGTCTGACAAAGTTGTTTCCTCATTGAAGTGATATTTGATCATTTGATGTTGGAAATCAGCTGTTTCCATTGGCAAGGCCTGACTACACTGCACTTTGTTTGTTTCCGCTTTTGTCTTAATAGATCAGATAAGCAAAGGCCTAAACTGAGGACTAATCTAAATTTCAGTGTTATTTAAACATTTTCAATTTGTATGCACGTCATTACTGTATTAAAGATTAAAGTGTGTATATTGGTCAGACCTAAAGAATGGATAATGTCATTTGATTATCTGTGAAGTTCTAACTTATGTTGTATTTTAAATATTTGAAATGATAGTAAAAGGAAGTAATAGCATAGTAAAAAGAAGTAAATATATTGATTGGGGTAGCAAACTCAAATGCCTTCAGGGACCAGGAGAGTAATGGGTTTAGAGGATCAGAAGTGAAACAAACTAGAAGAAGGAGCTGTTTTACACTGAGGAGTTCTAGCTTCAGCTAAAAAGGGCAGCTGCTACTCCAGCCAATTTAAAAACTGAGGGTTAATTTACAGACAGTGAAATTAACAGATATTAAAGATAGAGTTGTGACAAATGTATGCACCCATATAATTCGCATCCTGATCAAGATATAGTACATTTCCCTAATCCCAGAATGTTTTCTCACACTCCTTCCCAGTCAATGTCCTGCCCTGTCCCAGCTCCAACAAAAGCAAGTAGTGATTTAGTTTCTATCACCGTAGACTAGTTTTGCCTGTTCTCAAACGTCATATAAATTGGATTATACATTATGTGTTCTTTTGTTTGCCTTTTTAAATGAATGAATTTTGAAATTCATCCATATTGTTGCATGCAACATTAATTTGTTCCTTTTTATTGCTGAGTAGTATTCCATTGCATGAATATATTACAGTTTATTTATCCCTTCTTCTCTTAAGATAATTGAGTTATTTCCAGTTTTCAGCTTCTATAAATAAAGCTGCTATAAACATTCTTGTATAAGGCTGTTTGTGGAAACATGAGTTCCTTTTCGTTTGAATATTAACTAGGCATGGAATTACTGGGTCCAGCTGATTTTTGACAGGCAGGAATAGGGGACCACTCTGCCCAGGTAACAAAACTATTTCAGATATATTACATGATTGAGCAAATGAGAATATATTCTGATGTTGTTAGGAGCTAGAATTTTCCTTCTGGAAGAAGGCACATACAAATATGACAGAGGGAAGGCAAGAAAGAACTGTGTGCAAATGGATTGGAATAGATGTAAATTCATATGTATGGATATGTGTATACACATGCATATATTTCTTAGCTCTATCTACCTTAAGAGCTTACAAGCAAAGACATCTCAGTAGGAATGAGTACACCCAGCACTCAGATCTTGGTGTCTAATATATTCTCCACTAAAAAGAATGATGGTTCCTTGGAGAAATGGCTGATTCTGATGTGAGAACAGGGTAGGTACAACGTCAGCCTGAAATATCTTTTTATGCCAGAAATTAAGGAAGCTTTCCCCAAAAGTAATAGAGATATGTCACCAAAGTATCAGAGTCAGCTTGAGGGTGCTCTCAATTGGACAAAACTGGGACAATTTGAGAAGAAAATAATAGAGAAAAATTGTAAATTATAGAACACTGGGAGACAAAGAAGAAACCATGAATACGTACTGGAAGAGGGAGAGAGAGAGAGAAGAAAGTATATTCCTTACAGTAGACTGTCATAGCCTGACTGGTAAATGTGGAAAAGGTGCTGGGATTGGAAGAATTGTCATTTTTTCAACCATCACGGTCAATATTGGCTCAGGCAAGAATTGTCAATGGAGGTAGAAGCTAGAGCAAAATTTTGATTAGGAGCAGGGTATTAGGTTGGTCTTAAAATACCTCCACACAGATTGCTTATTAGTTACAAGGGAAAAAGTAGTAACCATGCAGTGGAAAAACTGTGCCACCTCTTTACTGAGTAATAAAAATTAACCTGATCAATGAGGGTAGATGAAAACCATGTGCCTTCAAATGTGATACCCTGAGAAGGAAGCAACATGGCTTATGCAGTACTCTGGCCTGGAATCCTTATCTAGATCTAATCATGAGGAAATAGCAGACAAATTCCAAATGAGGAATGTTCTATTAAAAAGGGGAGGGGGTGTTAAATGAATTCTTCAGAAATGTTAATGTCATAGAAGACAAAGAAAGGCTCTGTGAAAATGTTCCAGATTAAATTATACTAAAAATACATGACAACTAAATGCAATAAGTTATCCCAGACTGGATCCTGCACTAGAGATAAAATAAACACTCCAAAGGACAATATTAGGTTAACTGGCAAATTGGAATATAAGTCGTAAATTAGAAGTTTACTGTGATTATGTAAGAGAATCCCCCTACTCTTGGGAAATATACACTGAACTATTTTGGAGTAATGAGCCATAAAGTATACAATTTACTCTCAAAAAATTTAGAAAAAAGTGTTGGGTGTGTGACACGCAATATGTACATGCATACAAAAAGAGATCAATTGATAAAGCAAACGGGGTAAAATTTAACAACAGATAAATCTGAGTAAAAGCTGTATGTGTTCTCTTTGAATTAGTCTGATTCTTGAAATTTTATGCAAGTTTGAAGTTATTTCCAAACAATTTTGTTTAGGCTACACTTGGTCCTTCTCTGCCTCTGGGCATTCAGCCAATATGTCTGGGAGGCATCATAACCAGGGTGCAGTTTGATTTCTTTGGCTCCAGTTAGATTAACCCACAAAAAAGGAGAGTTTAAAAACTATGGTGTGATTTTTAGAGGTTTGTGGTAATATGACTCACCATAAAAAAGTATTCCTCAATAAATATAATTGCACTATTATACAAAAATCGTGAGTACTTTTGCTTTCATAACAGGAAAAGTGGAATTACACTGATAATGAGGAAAACAAAATAATTATTTCAGCAGGTGATACATATTGTTAGATTTGAAAAAGATCTTCAAACAACCAGAAGAGAGGAGAGGGGAAAAAAAACCACTAGAGTTCTGTAGTATTCAAAAATAGTCTTAGAAAATAATTGTGATTCTCTAGTTGTTTTTGATATAAGCTGGTTAAGAGCGGTCAGACTGCCTAGGTCAAATTCCAATTTGCTACTTACTAGCTGTGTGTCATTGGGCAAGTTACTTCACCTCTCAGATCCTCAGTATTTTTACCTGTAAAAATAGGGTCAATAATAGAGCATACCTCAAGGAGTGTGAATAATAAATAAGTTAATATATGTAAAGTACTTTGAACAGTGCATGGCACAGGAAAAGCATTATAGAAGTATTTTTTGTTATTATTATTTATCTAGTAATGCACATGATGTTCAAATAGATGAGGGCTTCACGGGATCCCAAAATGAGGAGAAATTTACAGGATCTCAGAGCTGTTGATATTGCTTTGCACACCAAGTGATTAACTTTATTAAGAATATTATTTAGGGCTTCCCTAGTGGTGCAGTGGTTGAGAGTCCGTCTGCCGATGCAGGGGACACGGGTTGGTGCCCCGGTCCGGGAAGATCCCACATGCCGCTGAGCGGCTGGGCCTGTGAGCCATGGCCGCTGAGCCTGCGCGTCCGGAGCCTGTGCTCCGCAACGGGAGAGGCCACAGCGGTGAGAGGCCCACGTACCGCAAAAAAAAAAATAAAATAAAATAAAAAAAGAATATTATTTACACAAAAGTAAAAACAATCAAAAAGCTGCAATGTCTTTTTAAGAAATCACCAGGTAAATCTTTAGTCGAGAACTAGAAATACTATGGTCAACGTGAAACCAAGACTCGCACTAGTAAAATCCAAGTACTGTGCTACTTCTAGGCATAGAAGTATATAGAGAGTTATATAACAACAATTGTTATACAACTCTGCTAATCTAAGCAACTTTTTAAGATGGCAATTGATGATTATCTGCTCTAATCCAAACAAGGCCTAAATAAATACATTTAATCCCAAAAGGGTAAATAACTTCTCTGATGTCATTCTCTTGGAAGTCATTCTCTTAGCAGCAGTGGTGTGCTGGAGCTAGCTCAAATTGTTTCATAAGAGCTGATAGGTTTTCAGGAATTTGGCAAGCCAGTTGTTAAAACATTGGTAGGTTGAAATCAGCCATGATGCTGGGAATTCCCTGGTGGTACAGCGCTTAGGACTCTGCACTTTCACAGCCGAGGGCCCCAGGTTCACCCCTGGTCCATGAAGTAGCTAAGATCCCACAGGCTGCGTGGCCAAAAAAAAAAAAAAGAAAGAAAGGAATCAGCCATGATGGGAATATTTACACCAGGGTAAGAGGCAAAACACAACCAATTAGAGCTTTGTTTCTTGAGGAGATGGTTTTAAACACTTACTAACACCCCACTGCCTAGAAGTAGCATAGTACTTGGATTTTACTAGTGAGAGTCTTGGTTTCATGTTGACCATAGTATTTCTAGTTCTTGACTAAAGATTTACCTGATGACTTCTTAAAAAGACATTGCTGCTTAGCTTTTAGGATGATTTCTTCTAAACCAAGTGGTAGCTCTCTAAATATGGCTGCACATTAGAATCATCTGGAAGTTTTTAAACATCCCAGTATGAAGATTGCACCACAGGTCTGTTGAGTCATAATGTATGGGTGATTGATAAGTGAGACCCAAGCAACAGTATTTTTCTTAAAACACCCAGGAGATTCCAGTGTGTGGCCAGCTTGAGAACCGCTGTGCCAAAGTCTCCCAAAGTTAGACATTTAAGGTAGTTCCTCACATGGTTATCAATTAAAATGGAGTAAAACGTCATCAAAGTCAGGAGTACCAAATGTCCCCCATGTGACCCTAAATAACAAAAGGTAGTGAAAATACTACCATAAAAATCAACTCAGATGTAATCAAGTCCTTCGTAAGGGAAGCCAGTGTTTACCTCTTATCTTTGTTATTTCCACAGGAGGCAACATAATTGGCCATTATCCATGACATATGGAAAAATGAAGGTTTAAAAATAGCAAAACAAACAGGGAAAACAAACTGTAAAATAATGCTAAACCTTCACAAAATATAGATCATCTTTCAGCAGAATTTAGAAAGTAAGTTCAAATTACTCAGAAAATGTAATACAGGACTAAATTTTGAAATAGCATTTCTCACCTTTTACTGTCTCTTAAAAAAAAGATCACTGATGGAATACAGAGTTCTCAGGTCCCAGTTTTCAGGGCTGGAATTTTGGCACTATTTATTGAAGCATAAAATCCTGCCCTTGGTAACTGACTTGTGCAACAGTTTTAACTGGTCTAGTAGTGCAAGGTGAATATCCCAGCACCACCAAAGAATGGTTGCTTCTGCAGTTAAAGGATTTTGATTGAAAACTGGATCTGTGACAAGTCTAAAGTTTCACATCCATGAAGAAGACCAAATAATATCACTCCCTTGCTGAAATTCAAGACAGACATGAATTTTTTCACAATCTGTCATTTGGCGTTAGTATTATTCTTGGTCTTCTATAATTGCATTTTTTCAGATTATTAATGCATCATTAATGCATATAAATTGCATTAAATAAGTAAGTTGATGATAGAGTTCAATTTTAGGATTTACAAAATAAATCATCAGAGGGCTTATATTTCCCTGATGTAATTTGGCAACTAAAGAATACCTACTGTACTTAAATCTGGTACAAACTTCAATTTTTTGTTAAAACCTATCTCATATTATGCCACATCTTATTCAAGTCCCATCTTCCTCAGCCAGATGGTACACTGTTGAAAGTAAGATACATCCTAAGCTACTTTGTATCCATGAAAGCTTCCAGAAAACTGCTAGGTCACAGAGACTATTAC